AATACACACTTCTCAGATAATGAAATACAAATGGCAAATAAATACATGAGAAAATGTTCAACATCATTAGTCATTTGAGAAATGCAAATTAAAACAACATTGAGATTCCACCTTACCCCAGTAAGAATGGCTAGCATTAAGAAATCAACCTTCTAGGTTTTTGGAAAATGTTGAAAATATCATTTCTCTCAATTGCTGTTCCTAAAAGTATTTTCTCAATCACCATTCGGATGTTCTATGTCCCTATTGCAGAATAAGGAGCACCTCTCAACTGATAACTAATACTGCTGGTGAATTTCCTACACTTAGGCGCAGAAGGATTCACTGACACTATGCACCTTTAGCACATACACTGTGGGAAAACAGAAAAAGAGATGAAATACTGTCAAATGTACTAAGTGACAAAGTGGAGGTGTGAATGTAAAGCATCGGAATCTCAAAGGCACAGTAACTGCACAGGAGTAAAACGACAAAGATTCGTTTTCTGTTAGTTTTCATGTGTTAAAAATCTAGAGTTTTACCTGTGTACCAAAAATATTTGAGATCTGTCACAATCAATATTCTGGCTACTATGATCACGAAATTAGGAGACCACGAATATGCACAGCAGAAAGCAGAGGAGTAGTCATTACAGCTACTACGTTTAACATAAAAATTCCTTGCAACTGAAAGAAAAGAAGAAACACATATTCATTCCAATCTTTCAGTAAATTTTTAACATTTTATATTTTAATTGTGATAAAACATACATGACAGAAAATTTGTCACGGCAGCTGTTTTTGAAGTGTACAGTTTAGTGATATTAATTACATTCACATAGTGGTAAAACCGTCACTACTGTCACATCCTAGCATACATCCATATGTTGTTCCTTTTATGGATGAATAATACTCCCTTGTATGAATATATCACATTTTATTTATTCATTAGTTGATGGACATTTGGTCTCCCCTCAACTTTTTGACTTTATGAGTAACGTTGCTAGAAACATTGTATAAAACTTTTTTGTGCACTTATATGTTTTAATTTCTCCTAGGTATATATGTAAGAGTGAAATTGCTGGATCGTACAGTAATTCTCTGGTTAACTTTCGAGGAACTGCCAAGCTTTTGTCTGCAGGGGCCAACTCACAATGAGGTTCCCATTGTCTTTACATCCTCACCATTTGTCACTGTCGACATCCTTTTGATTACAGGCATCCTAACGTGGATGTGAAGTGACACTTCAACGCCATTTTAAAATTTTCTTTCACAAAAAATAGATTTCTTTAAACAGTTCAGATTCAGCCATTTATTGCAAAACTACAGTCTGTTTTGTTACACTGATTAAAGCACACCGTCTCTCCATCGTCCAGGTAGCTTCTTGGGCTGAAAATGGAATGAAGTTTTATAGTGTTTTTCTTTCCCTTCACTCTTGCCTTTTCTTCCTTCCTTTTTTTATGGCCAGGTGCTGACAAAGCTGCTTCCCTCATGGGCATTAACTCCTCTGAATTGGTGAAGGGCTTGATTCATCCTAAAATGAAAATTGGTCATGAATACGTTACCAAAAGTCAAAATGTAGATCAGGTAAGGTGCTATTACCCTTCATTTGCTGTGATCAATACCTTGGTTGTTTAGCTAAGAAGCCTACGAAGCTGTTGATTTCTGACATGGATAAAACTGGTAAACTGCATCCCTTCTCTATTTGGCATAATGAATCCTTTAGTGTAACAGATGCAAAGTGGCATGCTGGCTGAGAAAAGGTCTCAGAACATATGTTGAAGTTAGTATTGGAAGAGACAAATAGAACAGACATGAGAGAAGAAATGTTATGTGTGTTTTGCTTAGCATTCAGAAAAATTTTACAATGATGGACTAACAAATGCTCCAAGGACATCTTGAGGCTTTGCCTTAATACAGTAAATTTTGCCTGGGCTAATGGGCAATATAACCAAATAAGTTTGTTAGTACATTCCAAAATAGTAATTTACATGTGCTGTGTACATTAGTCAGTATGATATAGGTCATGCTGCATCAAAATATACACTAAAATCTCAATAACAACAAAGTATTTCTAACACTAAGTACCACAGAGATCATACAGCCTCCTTCTATTCTGTGGTTATGTCATCTGGAACACATGGATTCCCAAGTTGCTGCACAGGCAGATGAGGTAATCTGCAGAGGAAATGTTGTCACTTCCAGGGCGTAGGGCAGAGGTGAACTTATTCACTCTTTCAGTTTCTTACACCAAGGAGACAATACAATGTTTACACATGTGAGTCTTATTTATTTCACTTCTGAATATGACCTCAAGTTGCATCCATTTACCTATAAAAGTCTACAAGTTATCTATCTTTATGACTGAGTAGCACCCCTTTGCATAAAAAAATCACATCTTTTTTTATCCATTCCTCAGGTGATGGGCATTTGGGTTGTTCCCAGACTTACTTATTACAAATTATGTTGCTATAAACATGGTGCACATATATCACT